TTAGATATTACAAAAATATTCTTTATTCAGAGGGTGGGGAGGCCCTGGCACAGGTTGCCCAGAGCAGCTGTGGCTGCCTTATCCCTGGAAGTGTCCGAGGCCAGGTTGGACAGGGCTTGGAGCACCCTGGAACAGTGGAAGATGTCCCTGCCATGGCAGGAGGGGTGAAACTGGATGAGTCTTAAGGTCCTTTCCAACCCAAACTATTCTGGCATTTAACCCCTCAAAACCAGGCTTACACAGCAAAAGAGTGAAGTGCCAGAGAACGACAAATCAACAAAAAATAATCCCTGGTTTAAAATCACCTTACACAGGTCCCTCTCAGGATGACCTAGAATTGATGGATCATGAATTTTCTTTCACCAGCCCAGCCAAAACCTTGTATCTGCTTGAAAGAGCAGGCGATGCTACACAGGAGGAGAGCCAAGAGCAATACTTCTAACCCCGCGTTAACAAACATGACTCACCCATTTATTTTCACTGGTATGTTCATGGTTATTTTAAACTTTGTCTAAAGAATGCCAGCTACTGTATAATAACTACAATGAAAGATGGCAGTGTTTTTATTTTGCTTTACAACTAAAGATTTATTTTTAGGTCCTTTTAAATAATGCAAAGTGAAACTGGTTTGTAAATTACTTTAAAGACTTTGGCACCGATTTCCTAAAGCAGATCCACATGAGCAAGTCCCAGCTCCAGGCCAGTGTCCCCATGAGGGAAGACTGGTGGCTCAGGTGCCACGGGCTTTGTTCTTCCCTGGGATTCAGCCTGGCAGCCAGGACATCCCAGAAAAATTCCACCTCACAGGTGAGGGTTTTTAAGAGGCAAGACTGTGCTTTGCAGGGTGTTTAGTTCAAGTCTGAGTCTAAACAGCTGCCGTGTTTCCCCAGGCCCTTCCCAGCACTTAGGCAGTATAAGAGGAATTATTGGTGTGTTGGATCCATCCTTGCCCTGCTCCCTGTTGTGCTGGTTTGCAACCTGGAGCATTCCAGGGGGTCCTGTGGGGTTACACCATAAGCTCCCATCAGGCATCCATCTGCTCCGTGGTTCTCCATCTGCTCCCACAGCAAGGAGCTGGGTATTGTCTGGGGAGGATGCAAGTCAGGACTCCTGGGCTCTGCTCCTCCAAACCAAATCAGTGGAGGAGGGAAAAAAATATCCACAGCCTGAGGTTGTCCTCCCTCTGTTGGAAATGGGGAGAAAGGAAAACAACACCCAACACCCAACTCCTGTTCTGGAGAAACTTGGTACTGAGTAGTCAGAGCCCAAGGCTCAAAGAGCTTGTTAGGAAAAGGGGGAAATCAGCACTTCTAGCTTCCTTCTCCTTGTCAGGACTCTCCATGCTGGGAGAAGGGTGCCCAGGGCTCAGCTGTGGAAAAAGACAAGCTGGGCCTGCTGGCTGCTCCTGCCTGTGGTGCCAGACACATGGCACATCTCCAAAGCCCCTGGGTACAGGAGCTGGAGAACCAGGGGTTAAGTGCCTGTTCACATGGGTGATGATTTTAATTTCACACTTACAAATCCCTCTTAAGGATTTCTTGGAGCTGGCAAACTCAGAGCTCCCCGGGGCCATGCCTGCTCGCTTTGACGTAGCCATGGCAGGGTTTTCCCTAGGCTGGGTCTAAGCAAGGCACATGCAGGGTGATGGGTCTCCCTGAACACCACTGTGTACATCCAGTGGTTTGTCTGGCCCAGGCAGAGCTCCCTTCTCCCTCCAGCACACCAATTTCCAGGGTAAATCCCAATTCCTGTTTGGAAAACAGAAGGAGAAGCATCTTTGGAACAAGAGCGGCTGAACTTTAGCTGACCAAGGGAATAACCACATCCAACCACCCCTTCTCAAACTTCCCACAACTCTGAGTAAACACCATCCCATAGCTTCATTTCACCTTCCTGCCCTCCCCACACTTGTATCTGGAATAAATCCCCTTTGCCATCCCCAGGAGACAGAGGGATGGGGAAGGCTATAACTGCTCATACGAAATGCAGAGCCGCTCACACAGGGTGCTCTCGGCAGGGACGCTGCTCTTGGCTTTGCTCTCTGCTCCATGTTTATTCCAGCTCTGCTGGCAAATCTGCAATATGCTCCTGCCTCCAAGCAGACCCGAGCTTCCCTAAGAATTTTCCATCAGAAATTCACTGTCAGGCTCCCAGAGCCACTCGCTCTTCTGCAGCTGTTTTCTGCCCTCTTGTGAAGCTCTGCAGAAATCCACAACTCTGCTGAGCCACATTCCCTCATTTCCCAAGCAGAGACGTGAAGAGATAGTGACTGTCCCCAGCTCACATCACTAAGGATTTCCTGAGAGTGAATAAGGGTTTAAGGGCCATCACCTCTCCCAAAGATGTTCATTGCTCCCACTTCTGCAACAACCCACACTGGGCTCAACCCTGTCTGAGCTGCAATCACCATTTTGCAAACTCCTGAGCAGATCGCCCCTTGTACTACTGGCCTTGGCAGAGACAAAGCTCTTGTTCTCTCCATCCAGCCTAGTGCTTCCCTGAGACCCTGTGGGAATAAAGGCTCAGCAATCTATGGATTCTAAAAGGCTGAGCATCTCCACAGGCTCTTCCTACCAACAGCTCCTCAGGTGCACAGGCCAGCGCATTGTAGAGTTCATCCCTTCCTCCCTTTTTCCTGACCTTATTTTGGGAATTACCTCATTAGGACTTGGTTTGTCCCAGGGGACAAGACACGGATGCAGTAATCAGCCTGAGGCTCAAAGTGTTCCTGCTCACCAAAGACAACAGTGACTTGTCCAGGAGGAGCAGGAACCTTTGACTCTGATTCACATTTGGTGCCAGCGTGGGCTGTATCAGCACAGCCCAAATTTCTATTTCAATCCCAGATCTCCCCTCTTGGTTTCACAGAGGGACAGACGGGGTGTGATTCATGCAGACAGTGAAAGCAGGGACAGAAGGGGAAGTTGTGCCTTGCTGTGCACGCTGCCCTCCAAGCACAACCCCTCCATCTGAACCCTGCCATCTGATCAACAAACCATCTTGTCCACAGAAAGCAGGACAGCTTGGACCAATACAGTCCAGCCAGCCAGGCCCCTCCATAAATCCATAGCTGCAATTCCGTTTGCAGTACTGCCCCCCTAAAGCAGCAGAAGTGAGGCACAACAGGGGCTGTGACTCAAAAACCCTGTCCCTGTTAAGGGCCAGCAGATTCACCCACATGCTCTGGCTACAAAAGCCCCCCAGCTCAAACTCCACACAGCATTCTGTGCTCTCCTCCTTCTCCAAAGTGCCAGTGACAGATGCCAAGGGCTCCCTGGGGTCCCTTTCATCTTGCCCTGGCATGTGCTGCTCTCACACAGATTGTGACTGTTCCCATCAATTCCTTGACTCAGGCAGAATGACGTGGTACAAAGCACCGGCTGCACAGCCCCCTGGCTCCTAAACGCCAGGGACAGAAGGAAAACAAACTCCATTTGGTCTGCTCCAGTCACTTGTCACAGCTATTGCAGGACTGCTCCTTAAATGCAGTGTTTATTCCGGATTGTGATTGTATCCAACAGCCTGAGACCACCACACTGAGCCTTTTTCCTTCCAAGAGCTGCTTTTCAGCACTTGGGCTCTGAACCCCACAGGTGCTGTCAGGGATCTGCTTGTGTCGATGCCGGATCCATTCCCAAAGCCGACAGTTGGATCCAGCATGTCCAGAGCCACTTGCCAGATGGCACAGCCACCCTGCTCCGCTCCCAGACACTCAGCCACGCGCAGCCCAACCCGCTCCGACAAGTGAGACAGGAGGAAGGTCAAACCATCTGTTTGCCGAGGGCTCAGTGTTGTACTTAAGGACAAAGTGTTTAAAGACTGGAAATCGGATCTTAGATTTGCCCATTACACAAGTGCTTTAGTCTTGCTTCTGTCCAGTCTCAGTGAGCCTGGAATCCTTTGGGTGCTAAAGCTGATCAGAAATAGGAAAGCAACCCAACAGCAGCACAGTTGTCCTCAAACCAATGCTGCCTCTTGTGCCACATGACAGACAGACCCAACTGTATTCCCAGAACAGGAAAAAAATCTTCTGTTATTTTTCACAATTTAAGTTTCTGAAGCTTTTACTGCTAAAATATTTTGAATATTTCCAAATATTCACTTGATATCAGTTTCCATCCCTTCCCAGAGCAGCAGCTGCTGCTTCTCATCACAAGCAGCTGGATTTCATGAGACTGTAACTATTGCCAGGAGTTTGGGGAGCTCTGAGACACATGGGCACACACACCCAGGCTTATTAATTCCTTCTGCAATGAAGGAGACCTTTGAAACCTCTCACTTCTACACAGCTCAAGCATATCTTGAGTGCCCTGGTTTGAACTCCCAGTGCACAGTGCTTTGAACTGGAGAGCTGGACTACAAAACCTCCTTCTGAGCTCTCTGAAGCTGAGTTTTCATGAGTTTCCCTGAGTACTCCAGCCACACTGGCATTCCCAGCACTCCCAGCTGTGCCTGCACCCCACAGGGCTCCCACTTGGCTCTGCTGTGTATTCATTTCAAGGCCAGATTGGATGGGATTTGGAGCAGCCTGGGAGAGTGGAAAGTGTCCCTGCCATGACAGGGCTGGAACAGGATGAGCTTTGAGGTCCCTTCCAAACCAAACCATTCTGGGATTCTGTGATCTATTTTTCAAATGTGTTTCTGGTATAACAGGGTGATTCTAAGGGTCAGCATTGGCTAAGGAATCTCTTCTAGGCTGAAATGAAGTTGTGCCTGGCCAAACGCCTTCCAGCTGAAGGTGATCTGCTCTAACATCTCCTTATCCTCACCGTATGGCAGGAAGTGGAAAGAGATGAGCTTTAAAGCCTCTTCCCACCCAAACCAGTCTGGGATTCTCTAAATGCTCCATGATTTGGGAGCATCAGCACCATCTGCGCTAGTCACGGTCTGATCTGTCCAGAGAGACTCTAACAGCATGAAAATAAAAAAATTAAAAACTTGGAAATTATAAACATCAACCGCCACAAATTATCGAGCCTTCCCGTGTCTAAAGGCTTACCATGGCGCATGCGCAGGGCTGCCACTTGCTGCCGCCGCCATGTTGGCACAGGGCAGGACTGAGGACAAGAGGCCCCGCCCCTCGTGCGGGGCTGGAGGCGGGAACGGCCGAGCCCTCAGAGCCCCGGGAGCGGGAACGGCCGAGCCTTCAGAGCCCCGGGAGCGGGTACGGCTATGGCCGTGCCCTCAGAGCGATGGGAACGGGAACGGCCGAGCCCTCAGAGCCCCGGGAGCGGGAACGGCCGAGCCCTCAGAGCCCCGGGAGCGGGTACGGCTATGGCCGTGCCCTCGGAGCCCCGGGAGCGGGTACGGCTATGGCCGTGCCCTCAGAGCGATGGGAACGGGAACGGCCGAGCCCTCAGAGCCCCGGGAGCGGGAGCGGCCGAGCCCTCAGAGCCCCGGGAGCGGGAACGGCCGAGCCCTGACCAGGGCTCCTGAACCCAAAGAATAGCGGTTAATCCAGGGAACAGAGATTCACCAGGGGGCACCTGGAGCGCGGCCAGGCTGGATGGGGCTTGGAGCAATCTGGTCTAGTGAAAGGTGCCCATGGCAGGGGGTGGAATGAGATGAGCTTTAAGGTCTGTCCCAGCCCAAACCATTCCATGGTTCTGTGATTTCAGGATTCTGGAAGTGCATCATCCTCCTGCTGCCATACAGCAGCCCCTGCACTGCAGACTCCCAGGCTGTCAGGTATAAATCAGCAAGGGCGAGCTTTTTCCCAAGTAACCCAGACATCCCAGCTGTGCCTGTATTGCGCAGGGCTCACACTTGGCTCTGGTGTGTAATTATTTCAAGGCCAGGTTGGACGGGGCTTGGAGCAATCTGGGATAGTGAAGGTGTCCCTGCCATGGCAGAGGTGGAACTTGATACGGTTTAAAGTTTCTTCCAGGCCAAACCATTCCGGGATTCTGTTCTCAACTACCAGCATCTCTTAGTAGTATAACAGATCCTAAGGGTCTGGCTAAGGAATCTCTTCTGGCCTGAAATGAAGCCGTGCCTGCCAGAAGACCTTCTAGCTGGAGGTGATCTGGAAACCACCATTTCCTGGTGCTCTCTGCCCAGGGCTGAGCAGGGCTGTTGTGCAGAGCCCTTGGCTGGGAGCACGGGGCACAGCTCCAGAGCCGGGTGAAGTCACTGTGCTGAAGTCACTGTTTCATCACCATCAGGGCAGCTCACGAGGCTGCCCTGGGCAGTGACATCATCACCTCGTGTTCCCAGATGAGGTGTTTGTCACAGGAAAAGGGAAAAGGTTTCTCTCCTTAATGCTGGATGTAGGATAGACTGGAGGTTCATGTGCCACAATTCTGGTAGAAGGGTAGATAAATGTGTTGGGGCATGTTCTGGAAGCTGCCAAAGTCATAGAAATACCAATCAGTGAGGCAAGGTCCAGGGTGGATCATTCCCACTCTTTTCTTTCCTACTTAGAATAAAGGTTGTCTGTGACATCAGCAGCAAAAATGTCATTCATGTGGTCAGCTCTTCTAAAATCTGTGTCCTGGTAGGAGGGCAGGGATGGGAACGTGCTCCCTGGGCCAGTGTCAGCGCTTCCTGCTGAGGAGGCAGCAACTGGGATGTGCTGAAACATTGAGCAGCCAAGAGGCAGCTGAGGGGCCCAGGTGAGCACACACAGGTGAGCAAGGCCCCAGTGTGGGCAAGTTCAGACCCCTGTCCAGGCTACTCCTTTATTCTGCTCCTGTTCCAGTGCACTAAACTGGGGAGGTGCCATGGAAACTTCTTGATTAATCACGGACTGTTTAAACACAAATAATAAACCTCATCTTCCATGAAGGCGAGAGAGGAACACCAACTGGTTTTTGCTAAGATTAGGCTCTTACAGGAGATTTCAACCCAGAATAGAACTGCTCTTTTGGCTTTCTGCATTGGTGTCTTTCTGCCCCTCAGTCCTCTTTTCTCCCCCTGCTGTAGCTGTACAGAATGGTCAGATTGCCTGGTTTGGACCCTGCAGCATCACAGGGTGTTTCCAATTATCCACGGGAGCAGGAGGCACTGAGGGTGGGCTGGTGTGTGGGAAGCAGGACTGGTGAATCCTTTGGTGTTGGCACAGTCCTGCTGATGGAAATGTGAAGCCAAAGCACCCTTTTGTTCCAGGAACTGTGGCAGAGGATACAGCTTAAGGCAGTCCCTGCTGACTTGCAGAGGGATACTCTGCCCCTGTGCTGGAAATCTCCCAGGAGCTTTTCTTTCCTGGCCTCCACAAGCCCTCCCCACTTCACCTCCTTGCAGCCAGCAGCTTTTTTTCCGAGTGCCTTTTGCATCAGCAGTGTCAGGGTTCCAAATTCTTCCTGGTCTGTAGCGCTCTTTTCAATTGTCCTGGGGCTTTTACATCACTGTTGGGCGCTGCTACAAGTATGGCTGGAGCAGGGAATTCTGGACAGGGCTCTGTGTGAATGAATGAGCTCTGTGGGAGCTTGAATGAGCTCAGCCCCTCCTGCCTGCTGCCTTGTGCCCCAAACCCTGGCCAGCTAAAGCTCCTTCAGCCAGGGGAGTGCATTTTGAGCAGGCAGCCACTGTCTGTGGGGAGCAAAGCTGTGGCTGTGTGTAAAAACATCTGGGACATGGCATTTCCTGTATTTCTCAGGTGCAGGAGATGATATTTCTGGTCATGCAGGGGATCTGTGAGGGCAGCAGTGCATCCACAGCTCCCAGCCATGATCCTGCCCGCACAGCACCAGCTCCTCACTGTCCGTGGAACTGCTGGTCGAGGTCTGTGCCAGTGCTTGAAGTCTGACAGCTGCATGTTGGATTCTGGGGTGATTCATTGTCCCACAGAAACAAATTCCTCAAAGTCTTCCTCCTGAAAGGACTTATACATCAGAAATGAAAGTGGGTTAGCAACACACTGCATTCCCAGAACGGGGCAGCCCTGAGGTCACAGCTTTGTCATTGTGGCAGATCCGCGAGGGAAGCGGTTTGGTGTCAGCTGCGTGTTAAATATTCCACCTTGGGGAGCTGAGAGAACATCCCGGCAGGTGCCAGCCTGTCCCTGTCATGTCCTGGCTGAGCAGCTGAGGTGGCTCCTGGTTCATTTGAATCCCACAAGAGGAATATCCTGCTTGGGCTACTGTCCTGTATTGTCAGGCACACAGGTTCCTTGGTTCCCTTTGCCTAATGGAGCTTCCAAGTGGCCCACACTGGATGGTCTCTTTGCCCAAGGCCAAGCTTGGCTCTGTCCCCAAAGCTGGGATGAAGAAATGAGGGACAGGGGAGCAGGGTCCCTGGGCTCGCAGCACTTTCTGACCCAGTGATGGGGAAATGCCAAATGTCACGAGGGTGTTTGGCCTGGTAAAACAACAGACTTGAAACACAGGGTATCACTCAGGGACACACACAGCCTGTGTCCCATCCAGGGCAGGGCAGAGAGAGGCCAGGAAATAGCTTCTGCATTTCCACAGCAGCATTGCCCAATCACTGTTTATGCCACCTGGGTCACTCCTACTCAGATCACCTGGATTTCTTCTTTCCAAGCCCCACCTTTCTGGAGCTCTGGGTACCACACTCTGACACTATCTGCACCCAGTTAAATTTTTTCTAACTCCTTGCTCCTTTTGGAAGACACGAGGGACAGTGCAAGGCTTTGAAAGCCAGGGAGATGTGGCACTACCTGCTAGGAGGAAATAAGCAGATTCAGTCTTGGCTTCCCTCTGCTTTTCAATGCTAAACACTGTTTGTTTCTTGGTGCTGCAAGATTGGGTAAGAAGGTAAAACAAAGGCATTTACAAACAATCTCAATATTACAAAGCTGCAATTAAGAATAAACCATGGCCTGTGTGGCGTGATTCATGGGTTTGGTTTGGGATTGGAGTGCCAGAGTTCTCTAGCTGTATTTGGAAAGCAGTGCAATACTGTGTTACATTTCCAGTTCCCTCTTGTGCTGCTGTCTGAGGGCAGGAGAGCTTGAACCCAAGGCTTGAAGCACTGGGAATGCTGGTGCTTCTCTAAGACTGGCTCTGGTTTTTCCCCAAGCCATGGAGTTGTGCATAAAGGTTTTCCTTAAGCTCAAGGGCTTTGTGTGCCTCACCCATGGTTTCCAGATGCCACTTCCCTCCTGCAGCAGAAGCAGCTGCTGAAGTTGACTCTTCTCATTGCGGTTAATTCTTAGGGGATCTTTGCACTAAAGAAGAGATGGAAAGTGATTTCCAGTGCATTTGTCCTCTTGATTAGGCATGGAATATATTTCTTCCTCTTGTCTCGAGTGTTCAGTTTTATTTTGCTGCTCAGCAGCAGGACCAACAAGGTGTGTGCAAGGAGCTCAGTGCCTTGGCTCCTGGCTAGTGGCAGACACTGCTCCTGTCTGCAGTTGGGGCTGGATTAACCCTGGGCTGATGCTGGGAGTGGAGCCCACAGCCCTGTCAGCCCCAGCACATCCAGCACAGCTGCTCTGTCACCCTCAGGGCTGTTTTGCAGCCCCCTCACAGAGATCATGGCTGCATCCAGCTCCGTCCAGCACTGCCCCAGCAAGAGGGAGAGAAGCATTTCCTGGTGGCTTTGGGAGAATTTTGTCTGAAGATGTTGGCTAGATTTCCATGTGTATCAGATAAGGCGTGTCCCAGTTGTTATTGTTTGTGCTGGCCACTTGCTCAGCTCTCAGTGCTGCTTTTCCCACTTGCAGCTTCCCAATGTCTCACCCAGCTGCAAAGCTAACAAGGCTTTGCATTTCTAAGGGGATAACCAAAACATCCCTGCATTTGTCAGCCTTTTTGTCCCTTCTTTCCTTCTTTATTGACCTGTTGCCCTACTGAAACCTTGGCCATGTAGGAGGCAGGTGAAACCACAAGTTGTTACCTGGACTCTATTTTTACCGTTTTGCAAGCAAACTCAGGCCCTGAAATTGTGAAACAAGGAAAACAACTTGTGTTGTGATTTCTTCAGTAACCTGATCACCTTGTCCAAATTCTGTTATGATTTCTCTAGTAATCCAGCCACCTTCCCCACTCCCTGGGATGGAGTTTGGCAACCTGTTGCAAATGGAGCAAGAGAGTTTTGAGCAGCAGCTTGCAAGACTCAAATATTCCTTTTGTACCAAGGAATATTTGCAGATTCCTACTGCCCAAGAGGCAGGAATTTTGTGCTGAAACTCCAGGGTATCACTGAAGCAGTTCACCACTTTGGGAAGCAGCTTTTCCCTCCCAAAGCCTCAGTCCTGAGGCCCACCAGAGCCCTGGGCTGCTCTGCCAACACATCGGTGTGACATGTGGCTGCCCCCATTGCCTGGGGCTGCCAGTGCTCACCTCAGCCACCCTGCAATGCAGTAATCTTATTTTAATGAGCATTAGGACATCACATCATCTACTTCTGCCCACTGCTGCTGTTTCACTGGACCTTTGGCTCACAGATTGATGTCAAACAGAGGCATATAAGACACTGAGAGTGTGGTTTGAAAGAGAACCACAGCTGAGGATTGGCTTGCTGGGGAAAACCCATTGAAGCTGTTGGGCATCTGTTTTCTTCTTGTTGGGGTGCTTGGAGTTAGCAGAGATGCTGAAAATAAGTGGAAAAGAGGGAAGACCTTACTCTATACTGTTAAGAGGCTGTGGTTTCATGATTCCATACCAAGCTGGAGTGTTATCTGCTTTGCAGGATTTGTCTCCTGACATAATGAAATCTGCGTACAGGATCTATGGGTCATCTTCAGGATCGGTTATATCTTCACTCGGACTGTGTGGATGTGATGTGGGTAAGAGCTACAGATTTCTGTATATTTTTTGTCTAAAGAGATGGAATATCTGGGAATTTTGCAGTTGCGATTTTTTTTTTCATTATCAGTGGTTAATTCCTCAGATTTTTTACTTTATTGTCTTCTTGACGAGTGGAAAACATGAGTAAATTAGGCAGCACAGAGAAAACAGCGTAGATATAGTCACTGCATCTTATTAACTGGAATTAATGGCAAGCATCTCTAATAAAAAAAACCAGAGGTGCTCTCCCTGATAAGGCATTTGGGATTGTTGGTAGATTGCCAAAACAACAAGGGGAAGAGATTCCATTAGCAGGGAAGAGATGCAGAGCTAACAGGAGGAAATGTTATACAAATGCTTCCTGACAATTTTCTCCCATATGTCCAAAAACTTTTAAGATGCCTTGTGCAGAGAATGGGGAGAAATAGGGAAAGAAAACAAAATGCATCTGCCTCCTGCAATATTGAAAGGGCTTGGAAAAGTTGGGTCCACACATTGGAGCTACAGCCCTAAGGAAAACAATGGTTCTAAATGAACATTTAGCAGATAAGATACCCCTTTCCCTGGTGGAAGTGTAGCTTAGAAAGTACATAAATAACAATGTAAGGGATGTAGAATGATTGCTTTCCTTTGCTTTACTTCAGATGAGGTAAAGGAATATCTCCTCAGTCATCTGAAAACCTCTTTCTGGGGCCTGGTCCCTGGAGGAGGGATACAGAGACTATTAAAGGATGCCTTACAAAAATTCCTGCCTCCAAATGCTCACGAGCTGTTGTCTGGAAAGCTGCACATTGTCCTCACCCGTCTGCATGACTGGAGAAATGTGACAGTGTCTGACTTTGCCTCGAAGGAGGAGCTGATTCAGGTGGGAGAAGCCACAGCCACCCCGTGAGGGAGGAGCTGGGTGACATTTGCTGCCCGGCCATGTCCCACAGCACAAAATCACAGAATGGTTTGGGTTGGATGGGACCTTAAAGCTCCTCCAGTTCCAGCCCTGTCATGGGCAGGGACACCTTCCACTGTCCCAGGCTGTTCTCAAGTCCCATCCAACCCAGCCTTGATCAACAACTGGGCAGCCACAGCTTCTCTGGGCAGCCTGCGCAGGGCCTCAACAGCTTCATGATAAAAACCGTCTGCCCAATATCTAAATCTGCCCTTGTAGTTAGAAACCATCACCCCTTGTCATATCCTAAGAGGCCCATTCTTGTCTATGCCATGATTTCTGTCCTTGCCACCCTCTGAATCCACACAAGCTGAAATAATTTAAAAAAAACAGCTCTTTTGATTGCTGTCTGAGTTATCCTGAACATGCAGGGAGCAAATTGAGGCATTTCACAAGTTCCCTTCCTACTTCTCTGCCCTGGCTGTGGGTATCCCACATGGTCTGGTGCCCATTTGTCAGTGGTGCCCAATAACCCTGCTGGGGGGTCGCTTTTTGCATTCACAGATGAGCCACCACGCCCAAAGGACACAGTTTCTGTGGCTCTTTGCTCACCTTTGTCCTTCCCATCTCACCCACAGGCTGTGATGTGCAGCTGCTATGTCCCGGTGTATTTTGGGTTCTCCCCTCCAACATACCGTGGGGTGGTGAGTAGCTTTGTGGTCTGGAGACCCTGTCCCAGCTCAGGCCCAGGGCCCCTCCAGCATCTTTCCTTTCTCCAGTGGTGGCATTAAGGATGTTTCTACCTGTGTTTGCCACCAACATAGCTCAGGATGGGTTCCCCCAGTGTCTGCAGAGGGAAGAACAGGGCCCCAAAATATGACCTCACTGCAGACTGAGCTTCTCACAGAATTGTCCATCTTCCCCTGTCCCTGGAGTTGCTTCAGCTCCCTTGTGCTGCGGTTTCCTCCCAGTTCCATTGTGGGAGTGTTTTGGGGGGAAGGGAGCAGGGTGGGTGTGGACCTGGAGCAGGGGAGCAGCGGGTGGAGCTGATCCCTGGAAGGAGATCCCTGGAGCCCCAGAACCTCAGTCTGGTGTGGGCCTGGCTGGGGAACAAGGCCCACATTTGCCTGTGTGAGCAGCACTGCTCTCTCTGCCAAGGGCAAGGCTCAGGGCTCCCTGCTCTGTCTCCCAGCGCTATGTGGACGGGGAGCTGGCCATGTGGAGAGCCAACTTCGTGTCCCGCTCCACCATCACCATCTCTGCCTTCGCCGGTGAATATGATATCTGTCCCAGGGATGGCCCAGCTGCCTTCTTGACCTTCCAGCTCGCTGATTGTATCATGCAGATCTCAAAAATGAACTTCTGCCGATTAAAGAACATTTTATTGGTTCCTAAACGCCAGGTGAGCTGCTCTTCCAGGTAGGCAGAGCCATGAGCCCCTGCAGCTGCCCTGAGTGCCACTTCTCCCCACAGGTCATGGACCGCTTTCTTATCGAGGGCTACCAGGATACGGTCTACTTCCTAAAGAGACTGAGTAAGTGACTGGGAGTGAGGACAAGTAGGTTGGTGTTTCCCTTACGTTGTTGATTTGCTGACACAAGGTAAGAGATGCTGCCCCAGAGTGACTGGGGCAGAGAAATGCCTGTATTCCTGACACTGCCAGGATTACCTGAGTCCTGGCCTCTCCTGAAGTTCCCTCTGGAGCCACACTCCCCTTTTCTCTGCCATACTGGGCATGACAGAGCTTTTCCCCAGGGAACACAGATCCCAGGGCCTCTAGACAGAAGCACAGGCTCAGGTGTCCTGTGTGGTGTTTGAAGCCCCTGATGCACAGAGCAGCAATGTTTGGTCATCCGTGAGCCCTGGGATCATCAGTATCCCAGATTTCCAGTCAGCCCAGGTTGTGCCTCACTCTGCTGCAGACCTGGCAGTTTAGCAACAAGCAGTGAGAGCTGGAATCTCTTCCCACCAGGGGATTTCCAGGTGAATTACTTTGAGGGCTTCACACTTTCCTTGGCCAATGAATCCATTCAGAAAGGTGAGGAGACCCTGCTCCTGAAGCCACAAATGAGGGTTCTTCACTCAAGAGCCACCGATCATGAGGATGACACCACAGAGAACTCAGGGATCAGCCAGCAAAAGATGAAGTAGAGGAAGCCCCACACCCCTTCTCCACCCCCACCAAGGTAAAGTACCAGCTTCCTTTACCCCATCAGTTTTCAAGTGACACTTGCCCAGGGCTGTCAGTGCCCAGAGAGGCTCTGTGGCAGCTGAGAACATCAGGAATGGGAGAAAGTTCCCTCTCAGGTCAGGGGTTACAAGTGGGGCCTCACACTGAGCCCTCGCCCTCAACATGGGTGAGCACTGGGGACTTCATTTGTGGCTGGGTCAGAGCTCTCTCCATGGAGAAGGCCATGTATTCACTCACCTTGTGAGGTAAGAACAGGTTCTGCCCACACATCCCTTCATTTGGGGTGTCTCAAGGGTTTAAGCTGCCTTTGCTATGACAGCCAAATCCAAACATCTCCTTAGGAACTCTGGCTGCAGCCACAGAAATAGTTAGTGCAAGGAAAGCATATCACAGCTGTAGGTAAACCTCTTACTGTATCATTTTCAAGCAACACAAGGCAGGTTTAAATCCAAAACTTATCGTTTTCTGCAATCCTATACAAAATAATGCCCACTCCCATTTTAGTTTTGCATGGAAAACCAGTGAATCCTCTGCATTTCACTTTGCAGTTTGTTACTAAAAATTACAAAGAAGCAGCTGATGAAATGCAAAATTTCTTTCCGTTTTACTCTTTATTTTCTTCTTCTTTCTGAGTCTTTCAACATTTCAGAATTTATCAGCTTAAGAAAAATTACACAGCTTTTTCAACATGATGATTATTTAAAATGTAGCCAGATAAATTAAATGTGAAGAATGACACAATCTGCTAAATCACAACAAATGAGCAACATACAGGGGAAAGAATAGGACTGTTACCATTCCAGATCTAAAAAGAAAAGCTTGTAAAACATAAAATAGGAGCAAGAAAGATATTTCCTTTGAAAACAAACCAACTCTAGACTCACTAAGAAATGCAGGACACAGTGTTAGGCTGTAGAAGTTGATTCCCTGGTTGCTTTTCTAAAGGCTCCATCAGTCTGAGCTATGTGGAGCTTTTGGTAGCAACAAGGTGAGAATGAGGTTTCTTTGGATGTTGGGCAGCTCTGGGCTATCAGGGATCTCTGTCTCTGGTTTGCAGCTGGGCTGCAACATTTTTGACCAGCCTCAGGTGAAAAATTCCTCCTGTGGAAGGAATCAAGACTCATCTGTTAGGCCAGAGACCAATCAAGGGGTGAGTCCAGGCTCTTGTTCTCCAGAGGAGAAGCACATCAGATTTTCCACTTCTGGCAAGGAAAAGCCCTACTGATGAAGGGCAGGCAAAGGCTCTTTCACTGTTTGTCTGTGCAATGCTAGAATGTCATTGATGCCACCAAAGCACCAGGGGGATAAACTCGTGAACAATTTGTACCTGATTTCTTGAACAAGTGACATTTCCAGAGGACAAGTGTCTGGAGCTGCAATCCCATGAGGCTCAGGCTGCATTAGCAGGTTATCCACAAGCACTTGCCTCTTATCCATGTGCCCAGCCGGATAATTGCACAAGGAATTGCACCCTCCTCAGTACCCAGACTGGAAACTGAGGCTGGCATGAGGGACCTGCAGCCAACAGCCAGGGCCACGGGCAGGACTGGGCACATGCTTGGCTTTGTTGGGCTCAGTTTCATGCATCACTCAAGGACTCTTCCCTCTAGACCTGCAGTGGGATCCAGCTCCAGAGGGAGCTCTGCTGTGTTGGGTTGTCTCCAGACTCTCATCCCATCCACCTCAGGCTTCACATTTCTGCTGAGCTCAAAGCAGAATGAAGACAGGGGTATGAGGGTGATATTCTGAGGATACCAAAACCTGCTGCCCTTTAGACAACAGGAGGAAGGGAAGCAGCTCTGAGCAGGCACTTGAATCCAGTTTGTCCTACAGGAACTGCCTGAGGTGTCTGTCAGACTGACCAACGTGGTTTTATTCCCTTTAGGGCCAGCTCGGCCACAGAAGAGCATTTCTGAGCCCGCTGCTGCCTTTGGTCCCAGGTTACGCTTTAAAGAGGCAATGAGCAACTTGGAACCCAGCCTGAAGGCTGAGCCTGACCTACCCCGAGGAGCACATGGACTGTGCCAGCAGTGCCACAGCACAGGCAGGGCCACAGCCCCTGGATGATTCCCATGATCCACCTCTAGAGGAGACATTCCAGGCTGCTTCTATCCCCACTGGTGCAGCTGGGCTTCCCACTTTGCTTCCTTAGGGTGAAACAAGCTCCTGCACAAGATGATTCCAATCAATGCCAAACTTTGCCTCTATCTATTGCCTCTGGCAAAACCTCCGTTGCCATTAGCTCCAAGCTCATGTCTCCAAGAGGAGACAGCATCAGCCCTGCTTGCTTGAAAAGATGAGGGATTAATAAAGCAAAACCCAGCTGACTTGAATACTGAATTGTTAAATTGTTAAGTACTCATTTCTTGCTCATTCCTGCAGGTTTAGAGCAGGAGGGTTCTGTGCTGACACCATTTTAGTTTGGGAGTTCCTTTCAGAATGATTGTTGTTAAAGTTCTCCAAGTCTTACTAATTGTTTTTGATCAAGCTCTGCATGGGGCAGGTGGGATACACTGGGCAGTTCAAACTGTGCTCCTGTTTGTGGCTGAAGTTTGCAGATGCATTTAGTGGATTGGGAAGTCCAATTCCTAGATGAGAATTTTCTTGGGGGGATTTTAATGCCCATTTCAATAGGGTAACTATTGAACTTCAGGCTGACTGAAATGGCAAATTCCTGCCTGGAGGTGGGGATGGTGCTTGCAGCAGCCTGGAGAAGGAGCTGTTGGATAAGTGGGAGGGAGCAGAGGTGCAAAAGCAAATGATGGGCTGATTGTGCCTGCCTGGGGAGGGCTGGCTGTCTCTGAGCCTTCCACTTTGCCCTGTGGCAGGAACAGCTGAGCAGCCTGGCTTTGGCTGCAGGGCTTGAGAGCTGTAAATCCATCCAGGATGGATGGAAGACAGGAGCAGATAGGATCCAATGCAAACGGGATCCATCAAAATGGGCCAGGAAGTTCTAAGGGGACTGGAGCACCTTCCCTATGGAGACAGGCTGAGAAAGCTGGGCCTGTTCAGCCAGGAGAGGAGAGGGTTGTGTGGAGGCCTCACAGCCCCACCAAGGATCTGAAGGGGCTACATAGAAAGCTGGAGAGGGACCCCTCATCAGGACCTGGAGGGACAGGCCAAGGCTCCACAGCTTCCCACTGCCAGAGGGCAGGGATGGAGGGGATATTGGGAAAGTATTTTCCCTGGGAGGGTGGGCAGGCCCTGGCACAGGGTGCCCAGAGCTGCTGTGGCTGCCCCTGAATCCCTTGAAGTGTCCAAGGCCAGGTTTCACGGGGCTTAGAGCAACTTGGGAGAGTGGAAAGTGTTCCTGCCATGGCAGGGGTGGAACAGGATGAGCTTTGAGGTCCCTTTTAACCCAAACCATTTAATGATTCTGTGAAATAAGAATCCAGGTTTCTTTTAGCAAACTCATTCCACAGAAAGTATTACCAGATCACTGATTTCAGCTAAAGATGGCAGAATATAGGATATTGTTCTTTCACACAGCACTCCTAGTTAACTTTGAGGCTGGTTACATCAAAGCTGCCTTCAGCTACTCCCTACATTCGTTCGTGCAGTCTCCATGGCCCTTTGGATGAAACTGCCCTCTGTTCCATTTCTCTTTGTCCAATTAAACAGGCTCTTTACTCTAATAAACAGCTGCTGCTATTGGGATCCATTTGTTTCCTGTTGAGAACCAACAAATAGGGGAGACACAGCTGGGGCAAAGCTGGGGCCATCCACGGCCTCTGCTATGCAGCACAGGTTTGGGATAATTAAGAGCACTGCCATTAATTCTGTGTGCAGACCAGTGGCACAGGGTGTGTTTGCCTGGGCCATGCTCTGTGTGTGGCCCTGAGTTACAGACAACTGCAGAACTCATGCATTTATGAAATGTCAGGAGATGCAGCCTGCAGGACTTGGAAGTAGGGGGAAGTTAATCTTTAGGTTTCTCCATCCTTCTGCACAGCTGCAAGTTCCAGGGGGATCCAAATGCACTCCCACCTCCACAGGCAGGAGAAGCAGGGCTGTGGGGAGGTGTGAAGCTCAAGAATTGATAATTGGTAAAAAAACTTCAGGGAACTGTAGAAAAATTAGTTCCTGCCCGATATGATGCTCCCTACAGCTTTTCTCTCTCTTTCTCTCTCTTGAGGAATCTCTCTGGAGGTATTTGAGTGGGAGGAAAACACTTAAAACCTGGCATTTCCTGGTAACTGCCTGCCCTGTAATCTGCATTAAAGCAGGGAAGGGATGCTGCTGGTGGGGAGGAGATGGAGTGGGCAGGGGAAGGGCTGGGCTGTGGGAGCTGCAGGTGAAGCTGCCCCATGGCCCCTGCAGCCTGGGGTGAGTCCCAGGAGTGGCCCCAGAGCTTTGCCTCAGCCATCATGGAAGAGCAGGTGAGGCCTGAGCAGGGGCACTGCAGTGGCAGCACTGCAGGCAGAAACAGACAGGTTCTGAAGAGAAAAAATACTCCCCAAAAATCCCCTCGAGAACCAGCAGCCATGCTGGTGTGTGCTGGTGTTGCCCACCACATTCCGAAGCAGCACTGGAGACCCCCAGGGCTCTGCTGGGACAATCCTTGTTACCTGTGGGAACAAGGTGAGAGTTGAGGCAGGTTCAAGGTACTGACAGGGATGAGCAGCCCTAGGAATGTTTGACTCCAAAGGGCTTTCTCACAGCTGAGGAGCTTTCAGCTGCCTCAGGGCAAAATCATTTCGAGTCTCTTGGGCAGCTGCACAGGAGGGAACTCACAAGCAGATTTTGGGGGCTATACTTTAAATCCCTGAGAGCTTAGTGTCCGAACATCTCTCAGGATCTTGGTGAATGTGCCTGGTGTCCTGCCAGGACAGAGCCCAGCACATAAATATCTGGGACACAACTGTATTGCCGTAGGGAGGTGGCACTAAGCTGGTTTGTAGCTTTTTTGAGATACCAAAATAATATCACAGGGATAAAAAAATGTCTACTTTTAATGTGA